AGATCTGGGTTCAAATTCTGGTATTGACATTTATATATGAAATAAATAATTAATTGTAGAGATAAAAATGCCCGCCTACTTTCACTCTCGTTGCAAGAAATTTGTAATAGAGAAAAATAGACAAAACTCTACTATATATTAATTGATTATATGTAAACAAATAAGATACAATTACTAAATGGAACTTTCTAGAATCACTCTCAGACAAAAACATACGTATTAATATTTTCTCTTCCATCGAAGAAGATGTGCTACAATTGTGAAACTAAACACATCTATAAGATATATGAAGCCAAAACAAGTGTTTAGTTTGCAGGGATTCAAATTTCCAGCCCGCAGAGGGTTTGTCGGAAGGGCACTTTAGGCAATTCACATTTAAATAAAACTGTGCGTTTCACCTCCAACACATTCTGCCGGTGGACCGGGCCAGTTTATTATATAGTCGGACCGGGCTGTTGCCCCCTGAAGTATCCGGCCCAAACTATTCCCCCTTGACGTAGTCGGCCCAAAGACTGCTGGTGAATTCACATTTAAATAAAACTGTGCGTTTCACCTCCAACACATTCTGCCGGTGGACCGGGCCAGTTTATTATATAGTCGGACCGGACTGTTGCCCCCTGAAGTATCCGGCCCAAACTCTTCCCCCTTGACGTAGTCGGCCCAAAGACTGCTGGTGAATTCACATTTAAATAAAACTGTGCGAGCTATATTCAACCCGCCAAAACCTCCTTCCAATCAACAAACCGCTAAGTAAACCTTTATTTTTGATCAATTAGAGCTTGCTGGTTCATGCTTAAGTGTGATTGCAATCAAGATAATGTCCGGAAATCAACAACCTGGTGGAAGCTCTTCAGTGCAAACCAGTGCTCCCAACCGTCGGAATTCAAAGGGCAAATGTAATTTGATTTCTTTGGTTTTTTCCATGTTCCACTGTTATTGTACGTATTCAAAATGGACACAACATATACCCGCTGCCTTAATTCTGTCGTATTTTGCAGGGTTCATGCGAGTTATATTCAACCCGCCAAAACCTCCTTCCAATCAACAAACCGCTGCTGAAAGGGATCGTCTTAATCAACGTAGTTCCGCGATTCATTTGTTGGTACATTAAATTAAAGTTGACTTTGGCACAAAATCAGGATAATTTGATTTGTATATTTCAATTGCAGAAATACTCACCCTTCAATCACAAGTTGAGCATAATGATGGCTTGATAGCTCAATCCTATCGAAAACGACGACGGGAGATCTTGAATGCGCGCTTGCGACGTACTGTTGAATATATTCCACATGGTAAGCTTAGTATCTTTTAAATGCGTTTCTTTATTTTGTAAGGTGTGTTCTAGACTATTTTGCATATGCATACCATAGTCCATATGTGCATTGCGTTGTATATGTCACGGAGCAAGATTCCATGTCGTCCTAATGGATTTAAAAGGAATTACCAAATAGCAAGGAAGGTGACAGTAAACAAAGAGCAAAATTATATGATGCTCAAAATATGGTTACATGAAGGACCACCTCAAAAGGATAATAACCTTTCAAAAAATATTTGCGTTCACATATCCATTACGCGGTTAGATAATTCAAAATTAGAGCGAGGTGGACCATTACTAACATTAATCCGATTATATTAATAAATACCCTACGCTACTTAGTCATCTAAAATCGGGAACAACTTAACCAAGAAGAGATCAAGACGATTCTCCACGTTGTTCCAAGGTCCGAATGTGACCAAGACCCTATATGGCGACTCACCAATCCTGTTGAGTAGTGGAATGTACTCCACATCTTCCATCTCATCAGGACCAACAACAGCAGACATGACTCGCCGTAAGTAAGCTGATGGAAATACGACCTCAAGATCGGTGATAAAATCTTCAATTGTCAAGTGAAGCAAGTATATGCTGGAGTCGGCATGCCAAGATCTCCTCAATTCTGTGACCCAGCCATTGAAAATGTATGACTTGCCCTGGTACAAGCTAAAACATAAGGAGTTCAAAATAAGACCAAATTAGATGCAAATTCTTTAGATAAAATATAGATTCCGGATAGATAAAATACATGTTATCTGATTCACCTGATTAGCAACATCCAATTGCATAGGGATAAGATCTATCGTTTCTACATTGTCCCAAATTCTTGCGGCAACTTCATATTGCAGATTTGAAACGAAGTCTCCCATGGAAAAGAATCTATAATTTAGATTAGTAGCAATATTAGCAACTCTATCAACAAATGTTAGAGCTGTAAAACTAATCAACTAATTATGTAAACCCGAATATACACAAACAATAGCAACCCAATACATGAATGTGTCAATACAAACATACAAAGTTTCCTTGGAGTATCGAACTAAAAAAAAAAAAATTCTGGATGATAAGATTGTAGTAGATCTGGAGAAACCTAATTTGAAAGGCCAGCAAGCGAATGTAATTGATGAGTGGTCTGGAAAAATTGGTTGAAGTTCTTGATGAGAGGAAAGGGGAGATTTTGCCGAGGTAGGGTTTTAGAAATTACCTTTTAGAGATGCTGAGATAGGGCTAACGTCGATCAGGCAGAGAGAAGGCCTGGAAAATGAGTGCATGCACTGGAATGGGTTTCCAGTTGCTTTGTTGGCCGGAGAGTGAGCAGAGCAGAAGAAGGCGTCAGGGAGGAAGGGAGTTGAAACGTCTTCGGCTGGGTCTTTACGCGGTAAGACTTTAGAACTTACCTCCTGGAGATGTAGAGATGGTACTAATATCGGTCAGTCAGGGAGGGCTGGAACATGAGTGCATGCAATGGCTTGGATTGGACTGTTGGTCTTCTCGCCGGCGAGTGAATAGTGACGTCGTGACTCGGTGCCGTTGTTGGAGTCCGCGCGAGTGGTGATTCGACGGTAGGGTTGTTCGACGAGGGAGAATGAGCGAGCGTAGTGGGAGGGTCGGGGTTTGCGGAGGGAGCGGGAAGCAGGAGAAGCAGAAGATGGCGGGTTGGGGATGTGGATGGTCAGGTTTCTGTGGAGGGACTGGAGGGTAGGTGAGAGCGATGGAGGAGGGAAAGGAAGAAGGGAGTTAAACCGTCTTCGGGTGGGTGGGAGGTTTTAATTGTTTTTTTTTATTTTGGGTTTTATATTTGTTTGATCCAAGCGTCGCTATGGCTGTCCATTTGGTTTGGGTTTTTTTGGGTTTTAACCAAACCCAACCCAATTGGAAAGCTAATTGTTTCTTTTGTTTTGTTTTAAACCAATAAGCAACTTAATGGTTTTGGTTTGGTTAAAACCGAAAAACCAATAGAAACCATTAAGAATACAATTATTCATCCGCAAGTTTTTTTTTTGTTGTTGTTTCTTTTGACACGCATACCAACCAATAATTTGTGCTGACCATACAGATATGTTTTTGTCAAATGATAATAAATAAATGAAAACCTAACTTTTTTTTTTTACTCGATGATACGAGTGATTTACTGGCTAAAAAATTCACTACTTCAAAATGGTATTCATTTATTTTATCAATCTGCCAACCCTAGCGATGCATTGTCAATTGATTCACGTTTATGAGAAAATGACACACCTAATTTCAACTCCTCCTCCCAACCAACAAACCGCTGCTGAAAGGGATCGTCTTAAGCAACATAGTCCTGCGACTCATTTGGTAGTACATTAAATCAACTTTGAAGGTCTTACAAAATCATAATAATTTGATCTGTATATTTCACTTGCAGGAATACTCACCATTCAAGCACAAGTGCACCATATTGATCGCTTGAGTTCCAAAAACCCTTTACTCTGAGAAAACCGTCATTGGGATGGATGTATTGCACCATCCCAATTAAATCTTCCCGTGTGTTAAATGTAAATTAACGAAAGAGAATTTTCTGTTATTATAGTTTAATTGATCAATAAAAAACAAATGGTAAATGAATTGGCAGAAATGTGGCAAAGCCCATTTCACTCTCCCAACTTTTATTGCCGCCAGTGTAAAGGGAAAAGTTCAGTTTAGGATATGTGCTTTTGTCTTTATACTTTTCTAAGGTAGATAGATATATAAATGGACCCATTCTAAATAACCAAGCGAAAAAGATATTTCACATGGGCCTGTTACACATGACGGTCCATCTATAGCCCACAACAAGATCTCATATGTGAATGTCGTTTCCCCTAATTAACAGTGGAGGAGGTTTCGGCCCACATGGTTTTTTTGGTTTTTTGGGCGGCTTCCTAGCAGCATTGGAATCGAGCTCCAACCCTAGAGGCTAGAGTACAACAAACAATTCTTGGCGCTACCATTGCCTTTCACCGGCGAGTGAATTGCGACCACAGGCTCGGATCCCCGTCGGCAGCGAACGCTTATCTGAGGATGGCGCTAGCTAACCGGTCTTCCCCATGCAGAACACCTGCCCCAAATATCCATCTCCCCATATCCCTAATTGGAAGAAGCAACCAATTGCCCAGACTACATCCGCCCCGAACATTGCAATTCAATTCAACCGGGTGCAGGTTGGAAGATGGTTTCCACCTGGAATCAGACGTCACGCAGTCAAAGCCTCAGCTCCGACTTTGGCCCTCTTTGCGGCGGCAGCGGGGAATAAAAGGAACCGAGCTGCTTTTCAACCCCAGGTACTCATTGAACATGGATGGTAAGTTATACTGGCTCTGTTTTGGCGCGTTGTCGGTCCTTGGGAAATTTACATTGGTTTATAACTGACATATTTGAATTTTCCCCCCTATTTCCATCTCCAGCTCTACACCCTTTGAATAAGCAGTTCACGTTGGTGTAGCAGTTACCTTCCGAAGATGTTGCTGTTGCTTGCCAACGTGGGGCAATTGGTAACTGCCCCAACTGGAATCCACATATATATACCTTCTCTAAATCTCTCGGCTCATTTTATATTTCAGTTGACGCTTGCTAAATCCCGCCAGGTAACTTCTTCTTCACAGAATTTTTTTCCCACTTCATTCCTCCATCAAACCAACCTCCTATTCCTACACTATAACTAAGTGCTTATGTACTTTGGTAGCTACACCATGGCATTCAATGGCATCCGAGATCTTGAGTCCGAGAAACAACTCTGGTCAGGGCATTGTCGCGTCTCCAGGGCATGGTTGGGTGTTAATGTGACGACTGATAAAGTCCTGCATTTCGATCTCATCTTGATGGATGCCAAGGTACGGCTGTGTTTAACATTAACTTTAGTTGCGTCACATATCATCCAGACTGTCTTATTTCGTCTCTATAAATCCCCAGGGGAATGATATATGGGTGCATATCCCACCAGTGCTGCAAGAACACTTCAAACGATTGCTGAAGGAACAGCAGGTCTACACCATTAAAAACTTTGAGCTTCACACGACCCAACTGAAATATCGCCCCATTGCCAATACATATATCATGTCGTTCTCCCGGAAGACTACTGTTGAGCATGTTCCCGATGTCCCTTCCATTCCTGCCTTCAAATTCAAATTCCTCAAAGCAAGTGAGATGGCATCTAAATTGAATGATGTGGTCGTCCTCTCAGGTTACAACCGCAATTTATTCAGTGGTTGATTTCCTTTCTGTGCTTGCTTGCGTCTAATTTCCATTAACTTTTCTTTGTATAGATGTTGTTGGGCAAGTAGTACAGCACTCGGATGCCATCAAGACAACGAATCTTGCTAGGAAAACCATTCGGAAGGAGCTTCAACTGAAACTAATTGAGTAAGAGCTATCTTTGCTACGGTTGTATCAATATGAAGTTGGAGTTACATGAATGATTGATGATTGCTTGGGTACAACGTTCTACTTTTTCTAGGCAGTATAAATTTAGATCATGGGTTATTCAGCCTCTGATCATATACATTTATATGGGTCACTTCATTGTATGGTGTTCATTTACACCCATGCTTAGGCATTACTTATGTTGTCAAACCTAAGCCTACGTTGTTTTACAGAGGGGATGTTGTCAAAGTTATTATCTGGGGAAGAGTTGTAGCTGACTTTGATAAGTTGATCAAGCCTGGTGATGATGAACAAGTCATACTGGTTGTGACTGCGGTTTCTGTCAAACCCTTCCTAGGTACAACATCTGTTTACACTGTGCTGCATTTGAGATATATGGGTGACTGATCAGTAGGAACAACATCAATTTAATTTTTCAGGTGAACTTTGCTTTAATTCTTCGGGTTCAACAGTGTTGTATCCCAACCTTGATATCCCAGAAGTAAAGGCTTTCACAACCAGGTATTCTCTTTTAATTGCTAATGAATATCCGAACCATACTGTTGAACCAATGTCAAATTAACATATTTATTTCTTTTGAAAAAGGAATGTGCAACCACAGCAGCCCGTGTTTGTTGAATTACCCCCACCCCCCTTCATCCCTAATATTACTCTATCGGAATTGCTGGAACTTCAATTGGACCCTGATAATGAGGTTAGATTATGGTGTTTTCTCTAAATTTACATTATGGTGTTTTCTCTAATCTATACGCCAATATTAATTCACTTCGACTACAACTAGGAATGTGTGTATGCTGTTGAATGCAAAGTCGTAGGAATCAAGCCATTTTGGTGTTATATGGGCTGTCCAACCTGTGTCCTTAAACCCATAGAAAGACATGGAGAATACTACTGTGTCAAATGCAACAAGCCAACACCAACAAGGGCTGCCAAGTAAATACCATATCATTGAGTTCCAAGATAAATTCCATCAGATCCTTGAATTATAAACTTCATTGAATATGCTGAATTTCCATTTCGTGCCTTTCCAGATATCGTATACAGCTTGATGTTGAAAGCAGTTCTGTGCCAGCTACCTTTATCATCTTTGAGTATGAAGCAAAACGCTTCTTTGGTGTCAGTGGTAATGATCTTTTCAATAGGACGGGTCAGAACAATGAGGTACCCCCTCCAGATCTACTCCAAATAGTTGGTGAGACCAAACTATTCCATGTCAAGTTCAAGCTAAATCTCTACAGTGATTCACAAGCTGATTTCACCGTCTTAAAAGTCTTGGAACCCACAGAACAGGTGAGCTACTCATTAGATCTTCCAGACTTATAACTCTACTATACTGTTTTGTGTACAATGACTATGACATATGTTTGCATGACCTGATTCGTACTTGATTAATAATAGCTTTCATTGAATCCTCTTAAAGTCCTACTATTAATTGTTTCTACTTTCCACCATTTTTTTAATTTCAGTCTCCAGCTTCTGTTCTTCACAAAGATGCCTCATGTTCATCAATTACCAGTGGAGTTGAGTCCTCCCAAACTTCATCGCAACCTTCCATCCCAGATCCAGCACATCAAGAGGCAGACAAAGGCGTTTCTGTTGATATCACCCCTGATAATAAACTGAAACGAAAGATGCACCCAGAGTGATATCTGAGGGGTTGAACGTTATGTAACCAATACCCTATTAGTAGTTCCACTTTGATTCTGTAGAAGAACAGTTCAATTTCCTTTTGTTGCTAGACTGCTGGGTGTTTGTCGAAACTGTTTACTGGTTTTCCTTTGTTCCCGTTTGTTGTGTTGCACAGTGACAATGGGTCGTTGTGCCATACAAGGATTGATGGATTTCAATATACGTACCTATTCTCTTGGATGCAAAAACAGTAGTTGAGGAGTTGGTCGAGACAAGTGATATCAAAAAATACAACGTCAAATTCTTCAACTCTACTGAATTCCAACCCGCATATGTGAACGATCAATATTTGGCAAATTGAAATGCTTTATCACATCCTTTGACAAATAATGAATTACACACATCTTTATTTTCATCATGCCTTTCTTACATGGTTTTCCTATCCTATGTTTTCATCTCAGCATCCATTACATGCTCATACAATGGGCACCTTTATCCCGCACTCTCTTAAACCAGCAAATTCATCATCAAATTTCAAATGAAACATATTGAATGACATTTCAGAGTTCAATCCAGTACAGTTAAACAACTTGGACATCACCAAAGATCCATTTCATTTTGGAGTATAAGGAAAAGAAATGTTAATAATTACTAATCCAACTCTGACCAGGTAATTAGCATCAATGAAAGGATCATTGGCTGCTTCCATTTTCACATCATGCCGAGATCAAGGTTGCTATGTGCAGAACCAGACTTATGCTTCGACCAACCCCTGCATTAGACCATTCACACCATTAGTCAGAATCCAGACAAGTCTTAGGGTAAAAAATGTTAATAGTTCCTAAGCCGATGCTTACTATGTACTGCTACTTTCGCTTGCCAATATGGCCTGTCATTTTCCTATTAAAATATATTATAAATACAAATAATAAGTAATTAACTGCCATGATCACCACGTTCTTCCACTATGCCACCTATTCTCAAGCTTAAACCAACTTCCTTCCCTGCAAGTCTATATAAAGAACATTTCCAGCACGTGAAAAGGTTTGCTGCCATCCAAAATATTGACTCTTTTCCAGCGTGCCGTATCAGTGATGGCTCTCCGCAATTTAGCCCAATTGAACCTCCATGACAATGACCAGGCTGTTCGCGTCAGGCTCCTGCGTTTATGGCATACAATGAGGCCTGATGGTGTAACGCTTGACCAAATCCACATGTTGTTTCTCGACAACCAGGTACTTTGATTTTATAAGCCTTCTATTCGTTACATGAGTGGGAAGTACGCTATTCAATTCTAAAAATACTCAAAGATTTTTTACCGTGACTTTTAGGGAACAGAGATGCAGGCCTTGGTTGATATTCTTAATGTTCAGTTGTTTGCTCCTCTTCTTCACGTGGGAAGGATCTATTTCTTGAGCAACTTTTTGGTCCAAGAATATGATGATACGTATAGAGTTGCTCCTGCAACTATCCGAATCCGCTTTCATAATGATACGGTGATTGAGGAACTCCAGAATGCAGCCGACATACCAACATATAGCTTTCGGTTTTTGGCTGCTAATGATCTTCCCTTTGCTGTCCATAATCATGAATATTTGTCTGGTATTTCTAATTCAAAGAAAGCTTTATTTGGCCGGTTTGGTTTTCATATTGTGTGCCTAACGATATGTTTGGGCTCAGATTTAATTGGGGAGGTTGAAACTGTTGAACAAGAAGAGGTCCTATTCGAAGATGCTGCTATTTTACGGCGAAAGGGGGTGCAGCTTAGATTGATTGAGTCAGTTGGTTGTTTTTTTGTACAGGTTACATTTGAAGTGTGCTTACCGTATGCAGCCCATTCATGCATCTTTTTTTTAAAAAAATTTTAGGGGACCTATAGTTGATGTCGTCTTATGGGATGGTCTAATTGACGAATTTCAAGCTGTGACACCTAATGATCCTTTACCAGGAACAGTAGTTGTCTTCACTTCCGTTGTTGTTCGCCACTTCGCAGGTCTCTTACATGGTTTTCATTCTATTTTTCAAACCTGTTCTTTTAGTTTAGATTAGTGGTAATTGAGTTTTTAGATGTTATGGTTTTAGGGGAAGAATATTGTGTGGGCTCAAATGCAACGAAAGTATATTGCAACTTGCACTATCCTCACGTGCACCCCCTGCTTGATAAGTAAGTGTTTAACCTTTGATCAATAGAATCAATTCTTTTATTATTCTTATTCTCATGTTTTGGAATTATTTTTTTTATTTACAGTATAGAAAATGTCCCGCTGGCCATTGACTACACGTTGGAGGATGCTATATGGTTAAGTGAGATATGTTCCATTTCGGAACTGAATCTATATAAGACTGATTTCACCAACCAGGTAGTTTATATGTACACTCGGTCAACTCCTACAAAAATTTCAACATTCATATTTTGCTCCCATTGAATATCATAATTGTTGGCCTGGACACCATGGTTGGATGTAACTGCGTCTCTAATGCTCTAACTTGACCAATAAAATATCAATTATCCTCTTACCATTCCCAAATGTAAGCTTTCATGTGGTTCATATTGCAGGGGAATTTGTACCTTACTACTGCAACAGTCAAGGATGTTACTGTTTCTTGGTCAAGTGTGCATCTCAAGTTTATGGTGAGGCTGACTGTTGCTACTGGTCCTCATGAGGCTTCTATCATGTTTATGACTACCAAGTTCCGGTGGATAGCAAGCCGTATCATTGAGGCTACAGACAAGGAATGGACCAATGACTTCAGGACTCTCCTAGCTGCTCTCAGGGGGAATATATTGAAGTTTATGATTGAATTTGGAGATTTCAACGGTCAGACCAATGAGTTTGATTTGGTTCTTCGCAAATTATTCTGGTAGAGGGGGTGACGTACTTGAACAGTGCTTTAATTCAAAGATAATTTCTGTATAGTTGTTCCAATTATGAATGTTGAACTCTTTCCCCGAATAGATTATTACTTGGCAGCTCCATCTATCTCCTGTGGTTTTTACCAATGTGATGCTTATTATTATGTTCCAAATATTACAGCCCACTTATTAAATTTCATATATTCGTATAAACATTTTAACTGAACAATTTGAAACTTAAATTGACAAAAAAATGAATTCGTTTTCATTTGATTTCATGTTCCAACGTTTGTCAAATGCGCCGCTTATGTTTAGTTTACCCGCCCAACGGGCCGGGCCCTGCGCTAGTATTAGTAAAGGTAATACGAAAGTAGAGCTGTGAGCTGAGTAACTATATTTTGGGCTGGAATTTGGTGTCGGCCCGTAAGGAAAATATGGTACTTTTTTTTTATGAAAAGGAAAATATGGTACTTAAGACTACTGTTTTTAATGAAATAATATTCTGGAAAATGTGGGGAAACTCACAAACAGTGATTGCAGGGTGCTAGTGGAAAAAATCACAAAGAGAATTGCAGGATGGAAACCTAAACTGCTTAGTTATGCAGGGAAATTGCAGCTTATAAACTCTGTGTTGAGTAGCCTGTCTTTCTATTGGATGAATGTCTTCATTTTACCAATGTCAATCATTAAAGAGATTGAGCAGCTTTGCAGTAAGTTCCTATGGGGGATAAATGAGGAGTCCATGAGGAAAAAGGCTGTGATGGCTTGGGATTTGGTGGCAATACCAAAAAGAGAAGGGGGGCTGGGTATAAGATGCCTTAAAACCTGGAATGTGGCTTGTACAACAAGGCATATATGGAGTTTACTAGTGAAAACAGGGTCCTGGTGGGTTGCTTGGACATATCAATACAGAATCAAGAACCTCACATTCTGGGAACTGGGGAAGTGTAGCACTGCCTCTTGGATTTGGAAGAGAATTTTAAAGGTCAGGGACAAGGTTGAAGGATTCTTTCGATGCTGGGGAACACAAGTGTATTGGAAGGATAAGAGAATGATCAATTACTCTGTGAAGCAGGTCTGGCAAGATTTGCAACCAGCTAGACCTCGAGTGGAATGGTATCAGCTGGTTTGGGGGAGACATTCGATCCCAAAGCACAGTTTTCTAAGCTGGATTATCACGAGAAATAGAATTACAACATTGGTACAGTTGCAGAGTTGGGGGAAAGTAGCCAGTGCAACATGTCTGTTCTGTTTGGCGCAAGCAGAGGATAGGGACCATTTGTTTTTTCATTGCCATTACACAAATCAGGTGCTGAAGGGTTGCTTGCTCATGCTTAACAAAACTTGTCCTCAGCTAAATGGTTATGAGGATTATTTGCAGTGGGCGGTAAGAACCTTCAAGGGGAAGACAGCTTTAGCCAAGGTGGGTCGATTGGTTTGGAACTTAGTGGTGAGCATGATATGGAGGGAACGTTGTGGTAGACTGTATGGATCATCAGTTGTGCAATCTATGGAGTTGGTCAGGAGAGTGCGAAGGGTAATTGAGCTGGCTAGATGTGGTAACATGGCTCTGGATACAGAATGTCGAGTAGTTTTTAGTCAGCAATAACCAGTGTATAGGTTAGGTTCCTTATTCATTTTATTGCTGTGTATATTTTGAGCTAGTAGCAGTAATGCAGCTGCGGATTGTAAATGACCCAGATGTATTCTTCCCTACTTAATGGGGGACACATAGTGCTTCAATAAAAAATTTTGATATTGCCCATAAAAAAAAAATGTGGGGCACACAACAAGTTTCTAGTGCTGCAAATGTTGTGACATTCTCGGACCTTGTCTGGTGTTTACTTTTATAAGTAACGAATCCCACACCAACTTCGAAATCTGTTGAGAATCCCACACCAACGTAAGTAGCTCTTGTATTTATACTTGAGCAATGCAGTTCATTATTGAAAAAAAAAATTGAGGATAAAATCTAGCTACTTACGTTTATGGGGTGGTGAAATATTTGAATACTAAATGAACAAAAAACACACCGATTTAACGTGGTATCCTCGTTCTTCTTGAACGAGACTAATCCCCGGAGAAGACGACCATTCTCAACTCCTCTTATTCATCGGTCTAAAAAACATGAGCCGCATACAGCAAGAACAACAATATATATATGGAACCCTATTTCACAGCTCGGCTAGGGTTACCATACGTAGGGCACATAAAAGCCATAAGAGAAAAGACTAATATGTCCCTACTAAAACACGTGATCTACTCCTTTACCCCCCTCCCCCCCTCCCCCCCCCCCCCCCCCCGGGGGGAAGCGAGGCATGCAGGTTACAAGTGGCTAGCTTGGAGAGCAGAAAATTAAAAAGATCACTACCAAGACCCTTAGTGAACAGGTCCGCGACCTGGTCATGGGTGTCGATCTTCTGTGGGAGGATAGCTTGAGAAACAACATGATCACGAACAAAGTAGCAGTCAAGCTCCACATGCTTAGTACGTTCGTGGAACACATGATGGGCTGAGATATGTAATGCAGCCTGATTATCACAATGTAAAACAGTAAGACCAGCGACGGGAACTCCCAGATCGCGTAGTAAAGCCTGTAATCAAATCACTTCACTGACGGTATGAGCCATGGCGCGATACTCTGCCTCAGCTGACGAACGCGTAACCACAGTTTGCTTCTTCGTGCGCCAGGACACTGGAGCAGAACCCAACATGACAAAATACCCAGAAGTGAACGACGAGTCGTTTGACAACCCGCCCAATCTGCATCACAATATGCGGTCAACCAAAGATTACCATCTGCAGGAAGGAGAATGCCTTGGCCAGGTGCATTTTTCAAGTACCTGAGGGCGCGCTCTGCTGCAGCGACATGGGCTGGTGTAAGGGAGTTAACAGAACAACTCAAAATGTTAACTGCATAGACGATGTCCGGGCGGGTAACTGTAAGATATTGAAGTCTTCCCACCAAGCGGCGATAGGCAGAGGCGTCAACCGGAGGTGAATCAAGCAAAACACCATCATCCGGGGGCCGAGTAAGTTGGTGGTTTTGTTCGATGGGAAAAGAACAAGGGCGACCACCAGTAAGACCCGCATCCTGAAGTAGATCGAGAGTGTACTTGCGCTGACACAGAGCAATGCCACGTGAGGAGCGAGCTACTTCGATGCCCAGGAAATACTTTAGGGCCCAAGTTTTTAATGCCGAAACGACTATCCAAAGTAGTTTTTACCTGCTCCATGAAGGCGGGGTCATTCCCGGCAAGAATCACATCATCGACGTAAATCAAGTCACTCACAAATGTTTGCCCAGTCCGCCGCACAAACAGTGAATAGTCAGGCCGAGAATGAGTAAAACCCATCTCCATAAGTGTAGATGCGAACTTCGCATACCAATTGCGAGAGGCCTGCTTAAGTCCATAAATCGATTTGTTCAAACGACAAACGCGATAATCGCCGGGAGCTGCAAAACCATGGGGAATTTTCATGTAAACTTCTTCTTCAAGGTCTCCATGCAAAAATGCATTGTTTACGTCTAGATGGGGCACTTCCCAACCCTTGATTGCAGCGACGGTGAGCAAACAACGGACACTGACCAACTTCGCCAACGGAGCGAAGGTGTCATGATAGTCAACCCCTTCCACCTGGGTAAAACCCTTAGCTACAAGACGTGCCTTGTATCGCTCTATCTCCCCATTCGGCTGATACTTGATCTTCTATACCCACTTAGGCGTAATCGCCTTCTTTCCCGGTGGTAACGGAACCAACGTCCATGTCCCATTCTTTTCCAGCGCCTTCATTTCTCGCTTCATAGCCTCCCGCCATTCGATATAACGGATGGCTTCATGAAAGTAGGTAGGCTCGGGAACTTTCGAGATAGCAGATAAGTAAGCCCGGTGAGTATCAGAAAAGGCATCATAGGTGACGTGCTTGGCCATGGGATGTGGGAGATTAGGCGGAGGCAAAACTGTATCGTAAACCTCCAAATGTTTGGGAACTGAGCGCTGCCGCAAACTTCGGCGAGGAAGAGCCGCAGAGTCATCTTGTGAAGCAGGCTCCGCAACCTCAGGGGTATCAACCGCTTCGTGATTAGCTGATGACGAAGACTCGGCAGGGATACGATCACCCCCTTCCTGATCGGCCGAAATGGGAAATACCACCTCCTCGTTGTTCACACTTGGATTAGCGCGAGTTATGGGAGGCTCGGGTGTGGTCACTGCTTGTTCTCGAAAAGGAAAAGCATGCTCAACAAACACCACATCACGGCTAACATAGAACCGTCTCGCCTGTAAATCCCAAAGTCTATAACCTTTCTGATTGGTCGGGTATCCCATAAACACAGAACGCTACCCACGTTCAGCAAATTTTGACAAACCACTGTGAGTATCCTTCCCATAAGCCAGGCACCCAAAAACCCGGAGATGGGAATAATCCGGCAGCTTACCCAACAACACTTTATAGGAGTTCGGTTTCCGGTTGCCTTTGATGGCAACCGATTGATGAGATAAGTGGCCGCGAGGATCGACTCTCCCAGAAACTGAGAGGTAGACTAGCATGAAAGAGAAGCGCTCGAGCTGTCTCCAAGAGATGCCTGTGCTTGCGCTCGACCACACCGTTCTGCTGCGGTGTATCAGTACAGGATGTTTGTAAAACAATGTCGCGAGCCTCATAAATAGCCCGCAGTCGCGCCGTCTGAAATTCCATTCCGTTATCTGCTTGAATTTGCATCACTTCTTGACCAAACTGTGTCCGCCCCATATTAAGGAACATCTCAAGATATCTTTCAACTTCATATTTGTATTTGAGTAAATAAACCGAAGTCGCACGACTGTAATCATCGACTATGGTGAGGAAATAATGAGCTCCACTCTTGTGTTGGAACCTTAAAACTCCCCCAAATATCCAAATGAATGAGTTGAAAACAATGACTAGTCTTGATTGTGCTTTTAGGGAAAGGAGCACGAGTCTGTTTTGCACGAATACAAGAATCACAACTCTCTATCATGCATTTATTT